AGAAAGCTGTTTCCTGTTGAAGTGAATTACGAATATCTATTTATGCATTTTTATAAACTTGATATTTTGAAACCATTTTATAAATTCACATTTTTGTGCAATATTAAACTATAAAAATGTCGTGAAAATAACTTTATACTTCCTAAAATGATATGGTGAATAAATTTATAAAAAAAAAAAGTTAAAAGGTGATAAAAAGGTAACTGCATTAGTGATTAGTTGATGCAAAGACAGTGACAATTTTGCAGACGGTTCGGAAGAAACATCAGTTTTTCTTTCGGTCGAATGGATCACTCCAGACTTTCATTCCTGCAAGTACATTAATAGCATTACAAAGTTATAGTTACGTTCTTTGTATGATGATTTTGAGGAAATTTTCTGCTAAAAATTAAAGATTAAAACGAACCAAATGAATATGTGTACTAGAAGATCACTCAGACCAAATTTTTTGTAACAATGCAAAAAATATGGAAGGTGTAAAAACAATAAAACAGAATAAATAACATAAATGAAAAAAATAAACTGCAGATGAGACCTGCAGGCCGTATGTCCTCCTTTATATCAGCTCTGGCTTCTTTTTGTAAGTTTTCTAACAAAATGGAAACATTTTAACTGTAGTAAAAAATATAAATAATATGATTGTTGAATTTATAAAATATATTTTTTTAGGTGATATACAATACAAACATTTGAGTTAAATCATTCACTAACCAATCTTCAATCAGGGTTTAATGAAAAATTGGTAGTTATATTTATTTTCAACATATTAAGTTTGATGTCAACATAAAAAAACTTTGTAAAAAAGAATACAGACAACAATACAAGTTGAAACTCACTCCATTCTTGAATGTTAAAATATGGGTGAATGGCAACAGCATAAAATGAAAGTCCAATTGAGCCAAATAAACCTCCAATCAGCAAACCATACCTCCAGCCAACCAGTCTTGCCATTGGTGGATTAAATAATTATCTGACAAAAAGGAAGTTGAAACAAACTTAATTTAAATTAGTTGTCTTTAACTAATAATTAATCAACTGTCAGACTAACATAGATGAAGATAGTTAATAAAACTTATAATTAAAACACTGAATGAAATATAATAAATAATTATAATATGCCCATTTTATATTTTGTTTTAATTTTAGTAGCTCATTTATTTATACTTTAACAACTTTTAATATTAACTTTCGATTTAGCATAGAATTATTTGGTAGTAAATAGGAATTTTCACATTAGAAACTCTTTTTTTGTTTTTTCTCATATCATTATTATATTTTATTACATTTGTACACATATTTCATTTTAACTTTTGTATGGTAGAGAATAAAATGTCAGGATGTGCCACCATTTCTAGTATTTAGAGACTGTCTGTACATCTATACCTGTGTTGTGTACATAATTGTTACTTGTACTACTGCCAAAATATGATGAACTTTCTTTGCTAATTCTCATTTTGGTAGTAGGGACATGATTTTCATGAAGCTGATGACCTTTTGGTAGTTTTACATATTTAGTTATGTCTTATAGTTAAACTTTGACTTACATTACATTATATAAAAATGACAGAATCATCAATATTTTCTTCTTTCATTTCATAATAGGTGGTTGGTCCACCTGGATCCATCACTGACCACTGCTACTTAACAGCTAAGTAAAAGTAAAGTAAAGTAAACTTTTCTACTTTACTTTACTAAATGTATAAAGAAATACTAATAATAGTTAATTTAATTTAATACTAACTCACTTGACTTTTTGCTTTATTTTTTTGTTGCTTTATTTTTTTGTTGCTTTATTTTATTTTTTTTAATTTATTTTAAAAACTTAAAAAATTTAATTTTTAAAACATTAAAAACATAAAAACTAAAACCTCACTAAGACCATATATGTTTACAATACATTTAGGACAAACTCAGACATGCAAAATAATTAGCTAACGAATTATTAAGAAAATTATTTACTTTTTATTGAACTGTCGATTGAAACATTTACCGCAGAACAAATTAATGAGAAAACGAAAAAGATATGCTCTGCAATCTAAAAGTTAACTTTTCAAATCATAGCACTTAATTTTTATTTCCAACAGGAATTATGCTTGCAAACGCATATTGACGCTGATGCTACATGATGCATTGATTGATGCTACGTAGAATAAGTAAAACAGACAATTAAATGTTAAAGAAAAACAAGTAAAAGTTGAAATAAGATAAATAAATAAATGGCACAACATCAAATTAATAAAATGAAGGAAAAATGTACAAAAAATTACAAATAAGTATATTGAAATGTATTCTATATAAATAGTAGTAGAGTACAAAGTTTAATTTTGAAAACAACGAAATGCCAACATTATTTTATTGAATTAAATTTTAATTACATATGAATGGTAAAAACCAAAAACATGATACTAGTTTTTATATATAAACCAATAATTAACTATTAGATATTGGTACAATTATAAAATACACACATTATATACCACGCGTGCACATGTTCACACCCACATACACGCTCACACATTCAAATATACACGAATTATAAATAAGTATAACAAATGAATATATGCTTTCACTATTTTTTGTTATTAAATTAGGTTCGATTACTCTCAAGTTTAAGTTTCTTTTGTGATCGAAATTACTGACACATTCATCATTAAGATATTGAGTCGATTTTCTAAAACCTTCAATTAATTTGATTTAATAATTTAATGTCACTTTGCATTCCGTACTATTATGATTGTTGAGTGTACTAATATGTATACGTGTACTATTGTATTTTACTAATCTAAATATATGATTGTATAAATGTAATGTTGTATTTTATTAATCTAAGTATTGTATGAATGTACCAGACATATATAGAGAATAAAATATACTTGAGTACCAAAGTACTTTTGAAAATCGTTTTGAATCGTTACTCGTTGCAACATAATCAACTACTTAGCCAAATAGTTAGGCGTTCATAAGTTCTGTTTTCAAAAAAAAATACAGAGCGCGATTTTCCGTAAATCTACGGACAAAATATTTATAAAATTTTGCTGGTACGTTTTGCTTTTATGTTTCATTTTTTTATTTTATAATTTGTTAGTGTGTATATTATATATTTCCTTACCCTAAAATTCGTTATGCCATACAGTACACATTCGCTGCTGCATATTTTAAAAATTTTAAATTTAAAAAATTAAATTTTTATTTTGTATTATTAAAATTTAAAATATTGCCACATTAACTAACAACAGTCAATTCAATTTTTTTGAGTAAGTTAATAATTAAATTATTTAAAAGTAAGGTATAAACTGTTAAAGTGTTAATAAATTGTTTTTTGCTTTCTTTCATCTTCTTGATTAAAGATAAAATCAAGAAGTACAAGTGTGATTGATTAAACACCAATATTTACATTAACAACATTATTATTATTAAATTTTTAATAAAATAAAATATATTGTAAATAATATATCTAAATTTTTTAATTGAAATCGTTTAACTAAAACTCCCTCAATGACTCATTTGTTGATCTACCTCAATTTTGTATATTTTTTTATAGTATAATAAATAAATAGTGTTATTTTATTATTAATATTATTAGTTTATACTTTATTGGCTCAGGCAAAGCCTTCTTCTCAAGCAAAAATTCTAACAAAAACTCAAAATATAAAAATTAATGAACCAAGATAAAAAATAAATACACATTTCTCAATGACATTACTAATTTGTAATTACACAAGCAAACACTGACACACACATTAACAATATAGTATAGTTTAAAAAGTATTAGTTGCATTATTATATTATACTATAATAATTATGGGTTATATTTATAGTTAAACTAATAAATATTAAAAAATTTGCTATGGTTTTTTTAAAATTTATAATAGCTAAGTGAAAAATTAATTTATTTAATTAATCAGATTTAGGAAGGGAAAATATCAACCTTGAAAATGAATGTGGATGAAAGAATGATATCTCTATTTACTGAGTGCCAGATAGGAAATCATAGCAACCAGTCCATGATAAAAACTATGACCAGGATTTTCAAATTGGTATTCCTAATTTCTATGAAATCATTTGTTTCAAAATCTGTCTCAGTTTTATACTTTATTTAAATATAATTTATGTGATGCTGATTGTAAACTTTGCATGATTTTGTTCGTTTTGATGCAGTAGTTTGCCATAGAAAAGCAGCTCATTGAAATGGGGTTGTTAATTATCACTAATTATAATTGTTTTCAAATTATAAATTCAAATATATTCTTTTTCAAGATGGATCCAGCGAAGTTCAAAAATGATTTCATCTTTTGTTTGAAGAGGTTCATGATAGTATTCAAGAGAGAACAAGCAGTGGAGAGGGCCCTGGACTTCATCACAAAATTTGCTTGCTCACTCAATTCTGTTAAAAATAAAGAGAACCTTCCAACTGCAACTGCTGATGACGATGATGATATGCACCCATTTCTGCTAGATTTGTTCAATTTCTTACTGCAGGTTCACATACAAACATATAATTAGAAAACACTTTGTTGACACATTTATTGTTATGTGTTACTTAGAGTCATGATGTAAGATCAAAAGCTGTTAGATTCAGAGTTTGTCAGCTGATCAACAAATTGTTGATTGATCTGGGAGACAATGCAAACATAGATGATGTCTTGTATCAGCAAATATACGACAGCATGCTTACCAGGTAGGTGGGAGGAATCATTGCTAATTTTTTAATTATAGTGTGTTGATTACTATCATAATTACTAGTGCTTGTTTAATCATTTTCTTTTGATTTCAGACTTTCTGACATATGCCCAGTGGTGCGGACTCATGCAGTGCTGGCCTTGAAGAGACTGCAAGATCCTGAAAATGATGCTTGTCCCATCATAGAAGGTGTTTATATGATTTGTGTCCTGCAGTTTTTGCTTCATCGTGCTATCATTTTAAAATGATTTATGTTCACTATTGGGGCCTTTTACATCATTATTAATTATAATTATTAATTTGGTATGTCAGCATTCTTGACTTTGATGTCTCAAGACAAGAACCACGAGGTGAGGAAGGCGGTGCTGAGTAGCATTGCAGTGTGCATGAAAACATTGGAGCCCATTTTGAAGAGGACCAGAGATGTCAACCACCAAGTCAGAAGGATGGCCTTCAAAGTAAGCTACATTTTCACTTCATTGCTTGAGAACAATTATTTTCTGTTAACAGTTAAGATGACAATTTTATATCTTTTTTGTTTTAATTTGCCCCATTAATTTTTTAAATCTGTTCTGAGAAAATCAATATTTGTATTAACTGACCCAAAATCAACATGATATTGGTTCAAGAAAAACTTCAAATTGTTAACTTTATCTGATAGTTTAATTGAAGCTGTCCTATTTTTTTCTTCATATCATGTTATTTTGTGTGTACTATTTAGAGCAGTTGTTTCTCCTCTCAGGTAGTCCTTCTTTTTATATGTTTATTATGACTTTTATATGAATTTCACATCATTGGTTGAGTGACATTTTGCACCTGTGGCATTTATACCCTAAAATATATTTATATAAAAGGTACATTTATATTTCACAGATTATTACAGAAAATGTCAATGTAAAAATTTTGACCATTGCTCAAAGAGTTTCACTGATAAGAAAAGGACTCAAAGATAATAATGGTCAGTGAATTTTTTTTGTATGCAAGTTTTAATGATTTTTTAAACTTTTTTTCTTAGCTTTACTGTTCATGATTTTCTGATTGTGCTTTCATTTCAGATCAAATCCGAGATGTGTGTACTAACATCATGATTCAATCCTGGTACCGGATGATGGACCAGGACATTTTTAAACTACTTAGCGTTTTGTTTTGTCAAAATTATGTTGACGAATGCTCTGAACTTCTATTAAAAGTTTTTTTTGACAAAAAAACAGCACAGCAACTAGTTGATGAATTTACTTTGTTAGATGAAAGGTTAGGAATTTTAAAATATGATATTTTGATTTGTTAGATGAGATGTTATGCAATATGATATTTTGTGTTGATAAATGGCTTTTATCTTATGAAAAATAAAAACACCAAATTGTTGTAAGATTTATGATATTGTAAATAACTGATACCATTGCTAGGCACTGCATACCCTTGGATAAGATGACATGTGAGAATGTTTTGTACTGGCAAGTTTTGTGTCAGCATATAAGAAGTATGGGAGCTAAGGAAGAGGTGAATCTAGACAGATTGATGCCCACATGTATTGGATTTGTCAAGTACTTCAAAGAGTCTGTTGTTGTTTAGCTTTCATATTTGTCTATCTCATCAATTTCAATATTTTACTACATGCTGGTATTTTTAATTCTCTAAAGATTTCTCAGTGAGCGTTTCTTCAACTTGCTCATTATTGGGCAAGTTGATTGATCTTTAATAATTTCACATTATTTTGTTTGATATATATATGAGGTACTCACAGCTATCAACAGTTGTCAAGAAATGTTTGCTAATTTTATTTCCCAAGAAAAAGTTGAATGACTATTATTTGACAACAAACAGAATCCTTGCGAACATGAAGAGAGGGAATGCAGTAACAGATGAAGAGATAGTGATGCAAAAGAAAGAGGAGTTCATGCTTTATCAGGTGGCCATTATCATGGGATACCTTGATGTATCTGATCAGGCTGGAAGGTTTCTCATCAATTTTCTTTTTATATTTTTGTTTGCATACAAAATATTCATAATGAGGAAGGCAAGCATAATTATTATGTTGGGATATAAATTAACATATTCATAATGAAGTACGCAAGCATAATTGCTATGTTGGGTCTAAATTAACATATTCAAAGTGTGCATCCTTCTTTGCTCATCATATACTTGGGTTAGGATTCTCTTCAGACTTGTACCATTTTCAACTGTTTGTTCAAACTGTAGTGCCACATTTGATTTGGAATTGACTGTATGGTCTAAAAAATGCTCATGAATTATCTTTTACTAATTTTAAATTTGCTTTCAAATAAAGTTGAAGTGTAAATATTTTCATCTGTGCAAATGACAATGTTTATAATTACAAGACTTGGAGATGAAATAAGAAAACCAAATATTTCACTGAGTCTTTCGTGCTGTTTATAACTCAACATCTGCTATCTTTTATTGAACACAACCCCTTACAAATATTACATTTCGAGTTGAGAAGTATTTACTCAATTAAAAATTTAATTTGTCATTTTCAATAACGGATATCTTTACATATATTAGTTTGCTTGTCACAATTACCATCAAACAAAACTGAAACTGTTAATAGGTCAGCACTTTCTGAAGTGATAAAGAGCACGTTAATTGATCCCAGCATTCCCAACAAAGTATTGGAGCAGTTGATCAAGCAGTTTGTGAATCTTTACAGTGACATGAACCAGTTAGTGGCAAAGATGTCTGAAGTTGTATCAGATATTTTACAGATGAGTTACAATAAGGATGGTGGCATGGAAATGGAACAGACGATGGAGGTTGATGCAGAGAAAATGAAGAAGTTAGAAATGGAAGTTAGTGTTACACTGATGGTTGGTGCAGATGATCAAAATGGAAAATTTTGTTTAAATATCAATTAAATTGTAGTGTATTTTAACTCTTTTGGTTTAGAATATAACAAGAATAATTTGTTGATAAACTGTTTCAGTTGGCCAAAGTGAGTGTTGAGCTCATGCATCTTCAAGACGTTCTTGAAGAAAGAGTGAAAAATCAAGACTTTGTTGGTGCAGCTGAGGTTAAGGAAACCATTAATAAACTCAAGGGAGACAAAGTCAGACTTACTGATGAAATGAGCGTTTCAGGGAATCAGGGGAAAGATTTGAATATTATGAATGAAGATGAAGATGAGACGGAAAGATCTCTCCTCTCGCAAGCGACAACTGATCCCATCAAAATGAAGAGATGTCTCATGATTGTCGCTGAAATTTTGAAGTACACCAAAGTCAACAAAATTGTGCCTTCACTGCTCACCATTCTGGACAATCTGGTTTGCTTTTTTTTCTATAGATAACTTTGTGTCTGTGTATTTGTTTGATTTGTATGATTAAGTTACTTTGAAAATAATAGAAAGCTATTGTATCTGCAGATTTTAAGACAATAATAATATAGGTTTAAAAACTTTAAACCCATGATTTTGTTCTAAATTGTGTTCACCAATTAATGTATATGAGAAGTATACAAAAATAATCGTTTTTCATGTGTTTGAACTATTATATGAGGATTCATTTTAATGACAGCCAATTGCCTCGTAGCGCTGCACATATTCATGAGCATAATCTAAGATTCTTCTAAAGTGTAATAATGTTTTTTGCATTTTTGGAACAAACTAGTGTTAAAGCTTTTTAATCTTGAACTTAAGCAGACTATATAAGTTGTGTTTGTTGTGTGTGTTGTGCATGTAACAGTTACTATATTCATGCTTGGCAACCAACATTATTGCAGGTTATTCCGGGTGTTGTGTCGGTGAACAGTGAGGTCCGAGATATGGGTGTGAAAGTTTTAGGGTTGTGCTGCTTGAGAGATGTCACAAAAGCTCAACAGTACTGTCCACTTCTTTTTCAGGTTTGTCATTTTCTTATAATATTTTTCTTATTTGAATTTAAATTGTAATTATAAATTATTTGTTTTGATGAATCAACTGGTGAAAATATTATATGTTTTCTATTGCAACTCATAGAAATTATGACAGCTTTCAATTAACTTTATTTATTTGTTAAAGGTGCTGGCTGTTGATCGTGAATCAGTAAAATTAACAGCTTTGAAGGCAATATTTGATATGCTGTTGTTTTGGGGCTTGCCAGCTATTAATGAAAAACCAAAAGATGGTGACATTGAGGAGGATAAAGAGGACGATGTTTACAATGTTACAAAATTATTCGACGAAAATGCACAGTCAAGTGGAGATGGAAAAACAAACTCAAACATTGTTGAAGGTCTGCTAAAATATCTGGATAGTGAGGTAATTGGGGTTTCATTGCAATTTGTATGTGTGCAATATAATCTTTTTTTTTAGTAAAAACGATATTTTGTTCCAATGTAGGTAGAAGAGATAAGAACTACATGTTCTGTTGCATTTGCTCGATTGTTATATTCCAATCGCATCATATCTCCTTCTCTCATCTCCAGGCTGCTCCTTATATGGTACAATCCGATGACTGAAGATGATACCAAGCTTAGAGTTGAATTGGCATCGTTCTTCATCAATTATTCTCTCAAATCAAAGTTCGTATATTTTCTGATTTTCCATTATGACCTTTGAACAATTATTTGAACTAGTTTTTGTTAATCGTGTCAAATAATTTTGTTATTATATTTCTTAATTTTCACGAAAATTATTTGTAAAGAGCAAACCAAGAAGTGATAGGTGAAGCATTTCTACCTACCTTGAAAATTTTGTTGAATGCCCCACCAACCAGTCCTTTGTATCAAGTTAAGCCATCCAATGTTGCTGAACTGTTTGTGAATTTGTCACATCCCCAAAATATGAAGCAGAACAATCAACATGAAGAAATTCTTTACGTTAGTCATTCATACATATTCATATGAAGTTCTTACCATCTGAATCTTGCCATACACTAAACAGGATAATTATGTCATTTTTATGTGTCACTATTTTCATCTACGTGTTATTAAATTTACCAGAACATGACATGTAAATTTTTTGTTTTAATAAATAAATTTAGATTCCATGAAAAGTTGATTTTTGCAGTAATGTACGTGATCATAACTTAAATGCACCAGGACAAAACTCCTCACGATGATATGGCCATCTCGCTCTGCAATGAGATATTATCAAATCCACATGATACTAAGAAGGTCTTGGTCTACTCACGAACTCTTATGTTGTTGAGTGTATCACCAAGCAACAGAGATGTCCTTAAAAGTCTTAGGGTTCTTGCTAAGAAAATAATCAAAGTATTTATTTTATTTATTCATGTTGATCGGCTAACATTGCTTTTGAAATTGGATTTATAACTTGCCTATCGTGTTTGATGTTTTATGACAGTTAAATAATTGATGTGTCTGTGTCAGTTGAACACATAAATCACTTTAAGTTTGTAGATTTACTAACTTTTGTTTGGACAAACTAATCAATTGTCGAATTAATTCCGATCCTTTCATTAGTTGGTGGAAGACAGAACGAGCAAGATAGCTATGATTAAATTTTCCAAGAGCATAAAAAAGATGCTGATGAGTTTGGATGATATAGATGCAGACCTCTCCCAACTTGATGAAACCTTGATTGATGTTGATTCTGCCGGCCTTGAAAATGACGTAATGAGTTTTTATACAGTCAGCAGTTTTCTTTCAGTTTATCAAAGTTATTTCTTAGCTTGTATATAATTATTATCATAAAAACTATACAATGACATTTTTCTCGTTGAAATGAAGAGTATCTCAGAGGCTACAAGTGCTCCAGTCGATTCTCAGGCCTCCGCAGTGAGTGAGGCAATCTCAAATTCAACAGCAACGTCAAATGGGCGGAACACAACCACATCAAAAAGATCAAAGTCTAGCAAAGGTTTCACAAAATTGAAATGTATAATCTGCTTCAAAATTTTACTTAATTATTTTTTTGATAACTTCTAGCAGCCAAAAATTTACCGAATGTTCAAGGTAAAGATTTATCTTCGAAAGATGCTGAAATTGAAGAAGAGTAAATATTTATATTTCTTTCACACAATTTTTTTTGTATATCATTAGTTTTTTCTTCTCAAGGAATAGCAGTGATGACTTCACACCACCTGCTAAAAGAATTGGTTTGGCTAGAAACGCCAAGCAAAGTGGTAAAGCCAAAGTTTTAGTTAAAACAGTGCATAAAGCGCCAAAACTGCCCGCTACTCACCAAATAATGAACGGTAAGAAAGTAACCAATAACCACGACGACGATGATGATGGTGACAGCGATGATGATAGCCATGGTCAAACGGCAGTAGACAGTGATGACAATGAGGATGAATTAATTGATAGTAGCTCAGACGACGATTTCATGGACTAACCTTGACCTTTGGAAAACCGAATTAAAAATTTCGTCCATGTTTGGCCTAAACCTCAAAGTTAATAGAATTATATTTCAACACTTCACTGCGTTGATAAAAACGCATAATTAATTTGCATGCATTTTTATTAAGAAAATTTCATGCGTTGAATTTAATGTGTGTGTGAAAACACTTTTTTAGACTGCTTCTAAAAATAAAAATCCTAAAAATAGGCGTAGCTAGGGGGGTTTCGGGGTTCAAACAATATAACATTTTATAATTTGATCTGTTTCATGTTTCTTTTCCGCCATTTCAAAAGTTTTTTTTTCAGTATTTCCACTTTTAAATTGATATTCAAAAAAATTAAAAGTTTCCTTACTACATAATGGCAACTTTAAAATTTGGTTGCTATGTTGTGAATGTAAACATGTTCCTGGTTTAAATTAATGAGCTTTAACGTCATTGACGTTCGCGATAGTAATGGCAACAGTAACATCCAACGCACTCAACCAAAGTTCACTATTAATAATAAAATTAATAATAGTAATAGTTATGTGTGAAAAACTCATGGCCGTGTAGAAGGATGTTATTTTCAAATGCACGGGTTTGTGTTTATATTCGTATGCGTATATGTGTACATTCTAATGGTAAGAGATGAATGTGCGTTATGGAGTAAATAAGCTAGCTCAGGGCGGGAGGTATAAAGTTTGATTTTATTTTTGCCATGGAAGCTAGTTCAATTTTTGAAAAAGCATAAGATGTCTTGTTTGTTTATTTTATCTAGGAAGTATTGCAAAGATTTTGGACAACGTTTGTGGGAACAACAACAAATTCGCGGTACGTGCCACACTATATATATATATATACCAATTTTATTTAGTTATGCTTAATTTCATTCAAGTATCTTCTGTTTATTCGTAGCTCATTCAATCCATTTGTTTTTATGCATATAATTACAATAGAATTGTTTAAAGGCCTGAAAGAGTCTTCAGGCACACGAGAAATATGGAAAGCTAGTTTTGCTTCCAAAAAATCATCTAAAGCCGCTTTGTACGCCCATGATTTGTGTGATAACATTTTGTAACCATATGTTTACACTCTACTTCAAATTTTGGAAACTTTACCAGTGTCAAGCTGCCACACAAGTAAAAACATACTCTAGCCCTACAAAGCCTTAAATATTTTCAAAGAATACAGAATAAAATAAAAATTTATGAAGTTATACGAAATTATGCTAAATGGAATATAGTTTCATTAAACGTTCACTATAATTTAGATGCCAGATATATTCAGTTTAAATTTTTTTTTGTAAATTAAGTTGCATGCATGCATGGATATATTATATATATATAGCCATGGTTGTATGTTATATAATTTAATTTTATAATAAAAATAATAGTTTTTAGTTTATTTATATTTTGATAGTATTTCTTCAATTTTATTTTCCGTTGCTGTATTTATGCACTTATCGAAGTAAACATTGTAAAAAATAATGTTTTTTGACCCCTCCCCGAAACAAAAATCTGGCTCGCCACTGGTATCTATATAGTGTAAAATGATATAAGATTTCTGTCGTGTTAAAACAAGAAAGATCAAATTGATATTTCTTGAGTAATAAAAACAAGTGACACTGCCCTAATGTTTATCATCTTTTCGAGCAAATGCAATGGGGCTGTTAAAATAGGCTCTGGTCGCTCAGGCAAAATCGAGCTATATTTTAAACCGACAACTTAAAATGTTGAGAGAGGGTAAAGTTTTGTATTTGTCCATTCTTTTTATATACTTCCATTTCTGTGCAGTCTTGCAGCCAACTTTTGTGTTACTCCGATATAATGTTAAAGCTTGATTAATTATACCAATATATGCTTCAGTGCAGTGACGTTGCGAGTTTGAGGCTGGGCTTCGGAGTTGGGTGTTTTTCCTTCGACTACGAAAACTATAAAGAATTTTTAAAATTTTCTACTTTATTCGAATGTGTATGCACGCGTTATAAGTATATTATATGGAAAGAATACGATTTGGCATTTTCTGAATAAATATTATGCTTTCCATAGTTAATAAATCTTTGTGGTAAATTTTGTTCGTGCCTGACTCCGTGTTTTTATAAGTTTTAGGCTAAAACTTTTAGCCAATTTGTCTGATATTTAAGTCAAGTTCTTTTGAATGAAAGAAAACTGTTAATGTTTATAAATTTTTAAAAAATTTTTATTTATTTTATATGATCTTACCACCGTTAAAAGTAAGGTCAACTTCGTTTATGCGATGAAAATAGAATGAGTATGGCCAGTTTGGTTTGGTGTCGCCTGATAAATCAGACGCTCAGCAACAGTCCACTTAATATTTGTTTCGGTTGAATGAAATGACCCATATAATTAGCATTGTTGACTAATTTATTTTAACTTATTTTGTATTCGCTGTAAATTTTTTGTGGGTTTGATTTAATTGTGTGTTAATGTTAATTTAAAAAAAAAATCTATTTGCTAACGTTTGACATTAGACTAATTTCGACGTTTGTTTATTTTTTATGCTTATGTAATCTTGTAGTTTTTGTATTCATAATCAATTCCTGACAAAATGACAGACAGTGATGATGGCGAGTTGTTAAAGTTGATCGAAGAAATGACGAAAAGCGGCAAGCCAAAACTTGATGAATCGAAATGTAAACATTTTAAAAATTTGTGTAAAGCATCCAATGAGAATGTAAGAAGATCATTTTGCTTCCTGTGGTCACAATTGGAAAAAAATCATTCAGAAGTTAGAAGATCGTCGGTTCAGTTAATTGACATACTTTTCATGAGGTCTGCTATATTTAGAGACCTTTTATTGAACAACATGCAAGAGTTCGTGGAGTTGACTCTTGGGACTAACCACAAACGGTCTCTCCCACTGCCACACTCTTCTGCTTGGGACATGAAGCAGCAAACAATTTGTTATTTGAAAAATTGGCATGATACATTTGGCAAAGGCTACAGAAAACTAGATTTAGCTGTAAAGTACTTAAAAAATTGTAAAAACATTAATTTTGATGATGTTTCAAATAATGTCCATAACGAAGCGGAAAACGAGAGGCTGACATTAATTAGACAAGCTAAAATAAATGCGACCTCAAATGAACTCAATGATATAAAACCTGAAATAAGTTCATGTCTCATAGAAATTGAAAATTGTCTTAGCTTGTTAATGCCATGTCCAGAACAATTTGATATATATAACAGAGGTGATACTTCAAAATCAAATCAAAATGAAAACCATAGTTTTGATAATCATGATAGTAGTAGCAATTATGATTATGAATCAGATGGAAATGACAAGCATGAGTTCAGAAGACATGGCTTATTTTCTGATAATATTTCCTTGGCTATAAATATTAATGTAAATTCTCAAATTTTTATTGATAAAACAGAGGATAATTCTGATATTTTGACATCATTTTATGAAAAGGTTATGCTTCTTAAACAGAAATATCTAAATCTACTACAAAGGTATTTAAAGGTTTTTACTAAGTGCGGGGCTTCAGCTAATCTTTTCAAACCTGCTTTAGACCTCAAAATGGATATAGAAAAAGTGTTGCAAAAAGCTGAAAAGATAGTTGTAAAAAATGATTTGACAAAAACTAATGATCTGGCTAGTGATGAAGAAAGTAATTTTGATGATTTCATTGAGGTGCCTAATTTAACAGAGGATGATGACTCTGCTGCATTGGTATCAAAGGTTAATAAAGATATTGACAAATGGAAAATTGCAGATGTTCACAAGGATATAGAACATGATCCCACTCATCCTGCAGCCACATTGAAAAAACTTCAAACTAATCTTCAACTACTGACTGATGATACTGCATCAAAAATAAATTTGGATTGTACAATTAAAACATCTGATGCTCTTAAATCAAGCATATCTACTAAAGATGATTTAAGACAGAAGGCTCCTATCATTCCATATGGTATAGATTTGTATCACTGGGGAGATTCTGAGAAAGACCTGCTGCCTCTGAAGCCATCTACATCTCAGATGAACTGGTGGGTGACTCGTGACGAAGAAGAACAGGTAGATAAAGAAGCACTGACATCAATGAAAGAAAGAGTTATTAACTTTGCTGGATTTTTTGAACCAGTTAAATGGAAATGTAGAGCTCCCCTTTCAAATGGAAAGTTATGCATTAGAATGGACCGTAAGAAGTGTCCTTTTCATGGTGTCATCATTCCAAGAGATAAAATGGGTAAACCAAACGATCCTAACAATTGTCCAAGTACAAGTTCCACCATTCATCAAAAATCTGAAAGTGAATTAAATGGACGACTAGCGGAAAATAGTTGGAGGGATCCTGAATTGGAAGCAGATATATCAGCTGCTATTGGGATTGATATAACATTTCGTCCTAAAAATAAAGGAAAAAATAAGAACACAAAAAAAACTGGTTTGACTGATTTGAAATCTTTGAAATACAACACACCTCTCAAGAGATTGGAGAAAAAACTTTTCAACAAAGCTGCAATGAAACGGGTTGCAAGCACTATGGACAACATTGATGCTAAGAGATTGAGAGACAAATTTGGAAATAACTTCAACTATGCTTATATGAAATAACTTGTACACAATTAATTTTATTAGTTGTAAATATTTTTATCATTGCTTCTTTATATAGCTGTTTCCGCAAAAAACTATAATACTTGTCATAAATTAATTTTTTTGTAACCAACTTTCTTTTCCAATTTTTAAAATCTTTTTAGAAAATTATCTTTAATAACTTATGTTACAGCATCAGATGTGGTAATAAATACAAACTGATGTAATTAACACTTGTATAATTGGTTGCAACATTTTTTGAACAAAGAACTTTTTGGCTCATTCAAAATGGCATATGTTTTTAAAGCCAAACATCCTTTCATTCCTCCAACTGAAGATAAACAGATCGAAACCCTGCCATTTCTTGAGGCATCTAGAGAAATCCTTATTCTTATTGGTCTGTCCATGCTTATTTCATTCTCAAAATATTATTTTTACATTTGCATTATAATGAATTCATAAATTATAAAACTTTGTTGTGGTTCTACTTGATGAATTTACTTGACAGACTATTTAGGACCATCTTTTCTGAAATCTGCATTTCACAGAACAAGAGCAGATATCGATGGTAACATCACCGTTAGTATTTATTATCTCTATCATTGTTTTACATTTTTAGTTTTTGATGGACTGATTGTGTTAAATTTACTCAGACACTGCAGAACAAATACAACAGCAATCCTGATCTATATCAAACTCTGAATTCCATGATCTCTGATGAACTACATTCCTCGCAGACATCTGCTACAGTTGCTCTTCTGTGGCTCAAGAGGTTTGTTAAGCGAATAACAGCAGGTCCGTGTATATGAATTTGGATATACTATTTTGATCAATTATTTAAATTATAAATATTTTTTAATACTCTTCACCCAAAAAAGAGGCTTGGAGTTCATTTTCCATTTTTGTGAAAAGTTGATTGCTGAAAGTGTGGATCACAAACCGCATACTCAAAGTTTGTGTGATATCACTCTCAAATCGTATGAACTATCCTTGAAAAGATTCCACAGTTTCATTGTCAGAGGCCTTTTCTATGTAAGTTTTGCCCGAACCAATGTTTTAATAATTTTCGAGTTTTTTATATATTTGTGTTATGAAGAGTAATAAATAATATCGATGCAACTAATCTAGAAATTGTCAGTATCAGTTTGACTACCTTTAAATATTCAGGCCACTAATTTTTTCCATTTTATATGTAATGATATAAAGACATGCCCTTGAAACACTGCTGAATCATTTTTGTCCGACACTTAATATACTTGATATAATTTTTTGAAAATATAATTTCAATAATATTTCTTGCAAGTTTTACATAAGCAATCTCATGATGTTTAACCCGATTAATAAGACCAGATTTATTTCCCCGCATTTATAAATGAAAAGTTTTATAATATTTATTGAACCACTTTCATATATTGTTTAGTTGGTTGCTCACATACTGCCTTCTCGAAAAGATTTTTTCAAGTTATTGGCTGGTGGACAGGATTGCAAAGAAGAAGAGGTTACGACTCTGATCAAATATTTATATTTTAATTGTAATTGTGTATTCAGTATTTGTCACTAGTATCTCTGAAAGAAGTACTAATCTCAATCTTTAAAGTAAACATTCTTAATTTGCTTTAACAGACATTTGATGCGATATAATTGTTGCTCTGAAAAATATTCTTACTGCAATTCTCATTTTGTTTTTGAGATGTTTATCAAAATTTTTTAAGCAGGTAGAGAAAGAGTTGAGAATGTTTGTAGAAGGTTTGGATCCAAACTTGAAGATTATCAACGAACTTTACATAAACATGGGAAAAAATGAAGACTGTTAAACGACTTTATATCAACTGATGTTATATTTTTTGTTTATTTTAAATGTTTAGCTATCATGAGACAACGTATAATAACAGATGTTACTTTTTAGCTTGAATATTTTTAGGTAATTTTTTATGAAACGTAGGTTCAAAGAAAATTATTTACAATGATAAACAAAGACAATGTACAAGTAAATTTACAACAGGATTAAATTAGAAAGAAATTTTTTTCCAGTATTCACTGGCCATCCTGGAAGCTGCCTTGTCTAATTGTTTGCTGGTAGCCTCGATGAGTTCTTTCTCTGCTACTTTTCTGGCTTTCATTTTCCAAGTTGAAGATGTTCTTGCAAAATATTCTTCAAACTTTTCGTTTCCTTTCTTACGAGGTCCCGATTTTGTTGGGTCATCTTCGTCATCATCTTCAAGTTCTTCTGAAAATAGTGAGAAAGAAATTAGAACAACATAATAATATTTAAAAATAAATCAAGTAGTGAGAATTTTATTTACCATCTGAAGATTCCTCATCATCTTCATCATCTGTGTCGTCGTCTGATGATGACTCTTCTTCATCGGATGATTCTTGCCAGTCCTGTTTCAAATTATAATGAATAATTGTTATTTAATATAGTTTTTAAAATGATAGATATATAAAATGGTAAAATTATTTTGCATTTTTTGTTTTAAATTAAATAGGAGTTGTTAATCAAAAATCATGTTTAAATGTTACATAGAGGACGGGATTGCAAATAAATGTACATTAGAGCAATTGCTTAAAATTAGATTGGCTCAAATAATTATTAAGTGGCAGGGGATACCATAGAACAACGAATTGAAAATAAAGAAAAGACACACTCGTTGCAAAATGGTTACACATTCAACTAACCATAGACGTATCCTGTGATTCTAATAAAACATTCCACTTGTTCATGCTTTGCAGGTCTATACTGTAAAAGTCACTTAAAGTGATTTGTCTGCTGCCGTGTTCACATATTCCACCATACAGATAGAGAACACCTCTCTTGGCAGCTAACATAGGTCTCATGCGAGGTGTAGGAAATGTTTTGTAGGGGTTATCGTCATTGACCCCAACGTTTGATGGTGGTGGATTCAGTTTTGTTTTAATATCTTTAGTATCGTTGATTACCAACTTGAATATTTCATCAGATTTAGTGGAAGTAGTTGGCTGATTGAGTAGAGAAGTGCTTATATGTTCTATTCGATCATTTACATTTTGCTCCAAGATTTTCAATTTTTTCACGTTTCTATCTAATATATTAGCATTTTCAGAATGGCCATCTTCATCATCATCGCTATTGCTATGAGTATCGCTAGAGTCATTGTCCTTTTCATTATTTGTGTTATTTTTTCTTCTACGTTTTCTACTTTCTGAAGTGTCATTAGATTTTCTGCAAAAAAAAAATAAAAAACTCTTAGTAAATTGTAGAGCATAGTTGCAATAAAGTTTCAAAAATTTGTGATACCAGAATGGATGGTGAAGTAAAAATATGCATCTATGATGATAGATAAAAAAACTAACCTGAGAATGAGAGGGTGCCATCTGCATTTGTCAATTTCAAGAAGATACATGTCATTAAAACAACTTCCTTCAACGTTCTCTTCATCTTCCTCCTGTAGTATCAATTTGTTTATACACAGTTGAAATATTGGAATCAAAAGGTTGGTTAAGAAAAACATATAATAAGAGAAAATTAATAAATTATAATAAGAATAAATCAAGAAACTAACGTCATCTCTAATCCCTCCAAAAAGAACGGCCTTGTTGCTGCTTGTGACACAGAGAGATGTGCTGCACCTGGGGCTGGGAATGGTACCGTACTGTTTGGCTAACGACCATTTCCATGAAAGTTTCTCATCCATTTTGTTCTTATCTCCTGTTCACATTCAAATTTAATTTTTTTTTAAATATTGAAAAGAAAAATTCTGTTTATTTTAAAAAACGATTAGATAATAAAATGTAGTATTAACCATCACAGGAGAGCATGAAAATGTCTGAGTGAATGCATCCCTTGTGAACGTCTTTGTTCACTTTCTGCTTGCTGTAGCCTCCATACACCATGATGTGACACTGGTCTTGAGTTACTGCCATTACACAACCTGCAATTTAAATCAATCACTTTCTTGTTATACATATAAAACATTTCTGCTAATTAATGTAAAAGTAAATTGTTGCAAATATATATAAATTTCACAGAATGCATTGTTACAACGATTCAATCTAACATAATAGTACAAATGTTAAAACAAGTACAATTTTAAGCTGAAACTGACCTGATCTGGGTGATGGCGGGAGACCAGATAACTGAAGTTTAACCCATGTGCGACTTTCCAAACTGAATGCATGAACATCATTGTAGTACCTATAAGCCCTGAAATTGTAAAAGAAAAATATTAATTATTAACCCCTATTGCAATATTGCAAAAATCTCAGCAATCTACGTCAGGTTGCTTTAGATCAACGTAGGCTTAACTTATTAACCACATAAATTTGGCGGTTGTCGATTGCTTTGAATAAATTTAAATTTTTAGGATATAAAAAAGAAATTTTATGAAAAAATTTACATTGTGTTGTCTTGAAATCCACCAAAAATGAAGAGCATCTTCCTACAAGCAACCATCCTATGTCCACTTCTTGGTGAAGGAGCACCCACAGAACTGAAAATGTTAAATTAATTCATTATTAATTTTTCTATATAACAATTCATCTGAATATTATATTAAATCTCCAAAAGTTGTTGAAACAGGAATAGAAAATACAAACTTTATTTTTTCCCATTTTCTTTCGGCAAGATGCAAAACCCAGAGATCATTATAATGATAGTACTGTGACTGGTTCCTTGTGGTGTATTCTCCACCAAACAACCACAACTGCCCCCTTGATTGAGGAACTGTCTCTGCCTGATTACACAAAAATCATTCATTTTATTATCTGATAAACAATATCAATACCACATACTTTATCATTACTTTTATGGAGATGGCGCCAAAATTTACTAAACATAATACAAATTCATAAGAACCTGATGTGAGCATCTTGGTGTGGGTGCATTCGGAATAATGACGTGAGACCATTCGTTGGATCGGATGTTGTAATAGAACAAATCATTGTACATTACAGTCTGTCAATATTGCATTAATACAAAAGTTAATTAATTTGAAAAATCATTAAATAAAAAATAAATTAAATAGATAATTCAACATTTTTACATTCATAATGGTTGTTTACTAAAATCAAAAGTAAAAAATATATCTTACTTCTTTGCCATTGAAGTATTCCCCGCCAAACATAATGAGACTATCTTTTTCTGGATGAGCATTTAAAGTGACATTGGACCTTGGAGAAGGAGGAGAACACTTGATTTCTGATGTAACTTTCACGGAATTGCTAGCATCTTCCAACCAAGATATGATCAACTTTATGTCATCCTTTTATAAATTTATAATAAAATAATTACTTAATAAGAATTATTAATTATTAATTAATGCTAGTAATAGCTAATACACAAGAACATCACATAATGATCCGCAATATCAAATGCAAATTTTGTTAAAGTTGGGTTCGATTAGCTGTTAGTTTAGTTTAATTACAATTTATTTAAATTTTAAATAAAATTAATAACAATACTTACTTGTCCTGCCTCAGTCAATTCTTTTTGCATTTTCTTCTCCGATTTTTTTAACTCTTTATTCAGAGTTTTCTCGAGTCCTTTGCCTTTTTTATTTTTATTTTTTCCCATTTCTAAAATGAAAACTCAAAAATTGAAGCGTACTATAACGTATTATGAGCGTGTGACTGCAACCGAGCTTGAGCAGACGATGATCGCCAAATGAAATTGTCAACACATGTACACTGATCGATTGAAATATCGTCTATATATATATAGTTATACATCTATTTACAACGAGTTCACAAAAGATCTTTGTCCATAGATATAATTCACCAAGATAATAAAGTTTACAATACCTTCGGGTAAAACTTTACACAAAGAGTATTAAACATAGATAAAGTGCACAAAGTCAATAAATGATTTTACAACACTTTCGGGTTAAATTTAAAAATTTAAAAGTGATTTATTAAAAAAGTAAAACCTAGTTAGTCAATAACTAAATATACAATATTTTTGAACAAATAAATTTACAATAAATAATTTCACAAGTCGATTACCTACTTTTATAACACATTCGACTATAATCTTAATGTTTCCAAGTGATTTACACAAAGAATTTTACACAAAGTTATAATATACAAAATTTTTGAAATAATTTTTTTCGAATTTTTAAATAAAATTTTAAATGATTAAAATTTATAAATTCTGTACATTCGGTGCATGTCCAGACGGTCCTCCTCCTTGCTGGTATCTAAATATGATCACTCCACAACCGATGCTTAACTTATTTCTTCACTCGTTACAATGGATATCCAGCACAATGTCCATTTATTCCCTGTGTGAGTTTTTTGAATAGTGTCTGATCATATCCTAATTTTTTATTAAGCAAATATCATACAATTATGAATTAAATAGCAATATTATACATCATTTCTATAAAATGTTTCGTTAGAATGTTCAACAATCAGACATGAAATAATAATATTATTATTGTTATACATAAACATAATAAGCATAATAAATTATATGAATTAATTCAGATGAAATCATGTCGCATCATACTTTTTCGTCAGCAGTTGTAATATTAACCGTTGGATTAGAACTTGAAATAAGTTTTTGTTTGTCAGCTGTAGTACCAAAAAAAGCACTAAGTGTGCATGTAGCAGTAAGTTTAGTAATTGTAGTAGTATCACGACATCGGAATACGTCCTAGATGAACCATACTCATTCAGTCAATATATGTTGTGGATTATATTTTTCCCGTTGTTACCGGGTTTGTTTGTAGTGCTCAAATCCGAGCTGACGTAGGCTAAAATATCCAAATATTCATCAAACTGAACATGGCGTGATATTTTACACCCGTCAGTCTTTGACAGTCCATATTTTTAGCTGTAGAATCGAAACATTCGGTTGCTGGTAAATCGTGGCACGCTGTTTTGATTATCAGGTCTCGCTTGAGTACAATTTTTCGTTGTCCATGTCTTTGACAGCGCAACATTTTCCCAATACTTCTTGCAATGATTCGACATGAACCGCCGAAAGACTGAGGTTGAAAAATGCCTCAATTGTTTGATGAATTTTTGCATTGCTACAACTGCGTGGGGTTGTAACCACACTAGTTGAATTGTAAGTAACTTATTATAATTAATTTGTATCGATAAAAACAATAACAAATTTAAATTTAACAAATGAGCAGAAGAATAAATAAATATAAAATTTGCATTACATAACATCTGTAAAATCTCTGGATATACCCTTCTGTTAACAGTTGTCCCTGCATCTTCATATTTAGAACTCCGCTTGCCAACTGTGGCATCCCATTGTTGTCTAATGCTTTGTCTTTTTATCATTGTTCAATCAAGTAAAAAAATCTTTTTGAATGTTTTAAAGTTCTGAAACATTACTGGATACTGATTGTATCAGTAATAACCCAAAATCATCTTCATTTAAATAGCTGTTCAATTTTTTTGAAATTGCGTTGCCTCTCGTTCCTCTAATTGATCATCACCAGCATCAGTGGCAGATCGTCTTCAAACTGCGGCACTTCGTTGTTGTCTGCCTTGTATGGCCCCTGAGTCTTGTATTCTGCATAAAAATCAAATAATTTTCAATGTTACACTGAGCTTTAAATATATTAGAACTAGTGTATTTATTTTATTATGATGTTGGTAGTATTATAACGACAAAAATGTTCTTAATTTGAATGTTTTCGTTCAACTCTTATGAAGTATAGCAGGCATTTCATAGGCCATAGATAAATAAAAACCACGCATTGCAGTAAAAGTAAATGTCTGTCTATGATATGACGTGCACTTGCTGATATAGTTGTGTGGATTGTTTAATACGTTGAATTTGTGCAAATTTAATTTTCCACGTTTAATTATTATTAGGAAATAATTTAATTATTGCAAAATAATAAACGTTTTATACAACATCGGTTGTTACATGTTAAAAATGTATTTCATAAAAGACGTGCTGAACATATGGAAGCGGCCTGCCTTCTGTTTCGCTCACTGCATCTGGTTCTGGTTGTCATTACTATTACTTGTAGTCTTCTGTACCACCGCCACGAGTTCATCGTCCAAAATTAAAAGAAGGTTTGAATATAAATTGAGTTTCAAAGGTCCACATCTGGTACTCAAAGATGGTACTGTTCCATTCTGGGACCACTACGGCAGTGCGATCGCCAGCGCTGATTCCATTCGAATAACACCATCGTTAAAAAGCAAAAAGGGTTCAATTTGGGGCAAAGAAAAAGTGACGGCTGAAGATTGGGAAGTGGATGTTAAGTTTACTGTCACTGGTAGAGGAAGACTGGGAGCTGATGGACTAGCTGTGTGGTACACAACTGAAAGAGGAATTGAAGGCCCTGTCTTTGGTAGCAAAGATCAGTGGAATGGTCTTGGTGTGTTTTTAGATTCTTTTGACAATGATGGTCAACATAATAATCCTTATATAATGGCAATGTTAAACGATGGAAAACAAACATATGATCATGATGCTGATGGCTCAAATCAACAACTTGGAGGATGTTTAAGAGATTTCAGAAACAAAAATAAACCAGTGAAAATTAAAATTGAATATTTCAAAAAAGTTTTGACCATTTCATTTCACAGTGGCATGTCAGACAACGAAGAAGACTATGATTTGTGCACCAGAATTGAAAATGTCAATTTGCCTCCCAATGGATATTTTGGAGTTTCAGCAGCTACTGGTGGCTTGGCTGATGATCACGATGTTTTATCATTTAGCACTTACAGTCTTCAACTTCAGACTGAAGTTGGCACAAAAATGGAAATGCCTGAACTAGAAAAAGAAAAAATAGAAAAAGAATTTCAAGAGTATAAAGAAAAGTTGGAAAAAGCTAGAGAAGACTTCAAGAAAGAAAATCCTAAGGCAAAATTAGATTTGGATGTTGATGAAGATAAAATTTATGAAAGTCCTGAAGTCAGATCACTGAGACAAATATTTGAAGGGCAGAGTGAAATTAGTCAATTCATCAAATCATCATTGAGAAAGTTGGATGAAATTGTTGGTAGACAGGAAAGGCAGTTGTCCTTGTTAACTAGTATCAGTCAGTCAAGACAGCAAGCAGGCCAGTCTTCATCTCCTGGCAGCACCATTGACAAAAAAGAATTCAACCAAATTGTTGATGCTCAGAAGGCAGCTACAGAGGGAATTAAAGATTTAAGACAAGTTGTCAATGACATCAACACAAAATTTAATGGACTTAAAATACCAGATCAACATCAGTTTACCAAAGAACTTGCTAACCACTTTGGAATGATGTTGAACGAGTTTAGATCTCTTTCGAATAAAGTAAATGACATTTCATCGAACATTGCCAACAGCCCATCTATCAGTGTTTATCATTTAGGTTTTTTTCTCTTCATTCATCTACTCACCATACTTGGTTACTTCATTTATAAGGCAAAAAAAGAAGCTGCTGCTAAAAAGTTTTATTAATTTAGATCAACACGCAAGTATCATTTTATTTAAAAAATGGCTTATTTTATTTAAAATAAGCCATTTGTTTTGAAATGTATTAGAATTGCTGTTTTGTTAAATGTCTGACGTCTAATAGAATGTTCACTTTCATCTTGTATTTTATTTTTGTATTTTATTTTTGTTATCAATGGAATATCAATGGAACCTATATTTTTGCATTTTAATTGTACATAACAATCCATTATTTTCATCATTCAAACTAACTTTTCATTGAAATATTTCCTTATCATATATTTTTTTTGTATAATTTTTTGCTTGTTGATGTTTACAATCATGCATGCATTGTTAATTATTGTTTTTCAAGTGTGGTTTTCTATGAGCTAGTCTTAAATAAACATTATAAACGTCATCAATCACAAAATTTTTATTGGCATCAGCATCATTGCTTGGTAGGCATTCATAAGGGAATGGAGTTAATTGTTAGTGATGGACTGAGAAGTGCCTTCATCAGGCTTATGCTTTATTAATATTTTAATAGTTGCAATGAATTATTTCATAATTTGATATTTCAAACTAATTTCTTCTGCACTGAATTATTTCTGACAAGATGTAAGCTAAGATTTTAATGCTATGATTTTAATGTTAATTACCATTTGAGATACCATGATGAACCTTTTTTTATTACTTGATCATAAAGTTCCATTCCATGCATGTAACAAAAAAACGAACATTAACAGCTACTGACTATAAAGCATAATCTTATCAAAGACGATACCCACCCCGCCATTTCGGCGTACTCAATTTGCATTTAATTTTTTTCAAGTGCTGGAACGTTTTGTATTCTATTGTAAACATTCTTGATTTAGATGTTGTTTTAGCATGTAGGCATGTCTCTGCAATTCAACTTTCTCCAGTGTAATATCATGCGTTAGGTTGTCATTGATACTGTTAATGTTGAATTATTTATTGTTCTTTCATAACTCAATGATTAAACATGACTTTGTGGTCATTTGGGTCCTTAGGGTCCAATTTATTACAACTCTTATGAAATTTAATTGGTTAAGATTTACGTGTTAAGAAATAAAATTAATTGTCAATAATTAATTGTTGATAAACAAATTAATAAATTGTTACTTTTAGTTTGATTCATAACAAAACTAAAAATAAGGATAAATCAGTGTTATCTGACTTGAATGGACTTACATACATACATAGTCATCAAGCTTCTATTTACACGATTAATATTTGCGCGAGAAAATGTTTAAAAAGAAAGATGATGCAACTTTATACATGAACATCACGACGAATGTTTATAAAGTAGACAACAGGAAAAATAATTTATTTCTTTTTTTTTAGTCTGGGTCTTTTCTTCATGTTCATGCCCCCTTCTTTGAGAAGGGAGCTGATCTTATTTTCTTCCGGGGTTGCGGGCATTTTGCCACTCTTCTGCAGGTACTTTACCACCCATCTTGTGCCCACAATTGTCACAGTGTACCTTAGGGGTGTGGCCAGTTTGTAAAGGAGGTATGTGGCTGCTATGTATCCCAGCGATGGAGACTTCAACTTGTCAATCACTGTTTGACTTACTCCTAGCCAATCGAGCATTGCCACAACATCAACACCACTGTTTATGATCATTTATATGTAAATGTTGTAATCACTGCAGCAAAATTAACAATTATATACTTAAATTAAAAAATTCAATCAAACTTTAATTATAAAAGTCAAAAATTGAGTTATAAATAGGTGAAATCGACCTGACTACAGCATAGTAAAACATTCCAGTCCACATTGCAGATGTCACTAGATGAACGCCAATGAAAATCTTTCCATGTTGTTTGTATGTGTTCTTGAACCTTGTAAATATTCCTTCCTTCACAACTTTCTGGTCGACTGGTTCAGTTGGAGTTTTTGATGCCCCATTCTGGTCGTTTGATGAAACACCATTTTTATTATCGTTAACAATTTTATTTTTATCAGTTGATTCCTTGTGATTATTTACAATTGGATTTTTAATAGTGGAATTCTGGCTAGAAGTTTTTGATTTGTCATCTGATTTGGTTTTAATGTTAATGCGGTTTTGTTTAGTCCTTGAAGAAATGTACAACAACCTAGTAAAACGATGAATGTTGCATTCTGACTTTGAAGCAAACTTGTCGTGGGAATAATTTTTCCATCCAGATTGGGAAGGAATACTTTGAAAGGAGGAAAGAGATGACTTTGATGAAGAACTACGGCAGCAGAAGAATGGATTGGAAGTAAGTGATGACGTCTTATTATTAAATGGTCTGCCCAACAAATAATCAACAGATCCAAGGATGATCCTTCCTAAATAAAAAAAAGTGTGTGCAATGGTAAAGTTCATTATATTTTACTCTAAAAAAGTATTTTCAATTACATTTTGATTTGTTTATGTTTATTATATGTTGTGTGTTGTAAAGAAGGATGATTGGTTGAGCAGTGTATAATTTATAATAAAATCAAATTTATAATTATTATAAATTATAAGTATATAACTTTCACAATTTTAACGTGCTATAGAAAAAATTTATAAGAATGTTTTTAATTAATTAAATTAATAAAAATAATTTAATAATAAATTATAAATAAAAAACTACTGGTTGCAGCAGAAGGTAAAAACTTGAAATTGAAATGGATCATCATATGAATAGCATAGCTCGTGGAAAACAACTCAAAAAAAAATTTTTTAAATGAAAAAAATCAGATTGGCGACAAGAAAGCACAAGGTAACTTGTGAAATCATTTACGCAAAACTAGAGAACGATAACATATGCGAATAGCCATCACACCTTACATTACATGCGTTGCGCGTTATGTTTAACAACTCTGCGGAATGTCATGGTACTACTAACAACCAACACACACACTGCTCATAAATAAATGTTAGTTATTAATATTAATGTTAATTAATGTTAATATTGATAATATTAAATGTTAATTGTTTATTAATGTTAATTAATGTTAATATTGGCTAATGTTAACGTTGATACGCTGTGGTGTGAATTGGTGATTGCTGGTTGATTGGAAATAAAAATGGAACTTGTTGGTCGAATATTATTTCTTGAGTTGCCATTTATGACGAAGTCAGATCATTTAGTATTGTATTTTAGTATTGATATAAGGTTAAAACTTACATTATAACTTAATGCAATACCAGGCACCACAAAAATTATCCAAATATTCCCAAAAACAAATGATTAAAAAACTTTAGAATGGTGAAATAAAACGAATGAAAATATAAGTATTCAAATTCTCGTTTACGTCACATTGTTAATGTTATTTGTTTTCTATCTACTGAACGTAAACACAATTTTCATTTACGTGATACAGTCTCACCTTATATCAATAGTTCATTAGAAGTTTTTATTTACGAGGAAAACATTTTATCCGCGAATCATGGGGTAAGATCCTTTGTATTTCATTCAAATAAAATTAATCAACTCTCATTTCGCCAATGCTTTTTTTAAGTAAACATGTTACCGAAATAGTAAATAAGTTCGCAGATATGTAATTTTAATTAAATAAACACTGAAATAATAAGCTCAAACTCACATGCACCGCGCGCACACACACACACGCACACACATGCACACACATATTCAAACACACATAGCCACCAATTAAACAAAAATTTAATAATTAAACAGCAACGAACTGGGGATGACTCCAGCTCTGGTGGGTGACATCCTGGGCATCTTGGTCATCGCCTGGATGTTTATGACCGTCATCACTACTCTCTACACTATTTACTTACATTTCAGAACACCATCCTGATTTGATGCCCGTGTGATCATCAGCATATTCATTGCTACATCCTATTTAATGCAGCAATTGTTACATATATATGTAACACAAATTACCAATGTGTATATAATCTGAAATAACTATATACTTCGAACACGTTTTTTAATAGTTGCCAATATGGTTTAAAAATATTCCTGTTAGCGTTACGTAGAGTGATGCTGTTAACTTCTGCATTTTATTTTTTTATAGTTGCAATGTTGGCCGTCATATTGTGGATGATTCAAATAGTACTTAAAAGAATGTGCATAAATATGAAATAAATATTTTTTTGAACAATGCTACTTGTTTTTTTTTAAATTTTTTAAATGAAAATCGTGAAAACCATTTAAAGCAACAAATGATATCCTTTCAGTATGGTGTTTGCCAAAAACTTGAATCTGCCTGCCTCACAACTGTTTCGGTACCGCGAGAAATATTTTATCCTCCCGATGCACTTGCTTTTTTTTTCAGTTTATAAAATTACTTTTATAAATTAATTTGAAATAAAAAAAATAACAAAAATGCTCCTATCGAGACAAAAGATCAAAAAACAATTGCAACAATAAAACAATAAAACACATCGTTGTAATCTTAATAATCTGATAGGGTGGTTGTCCTTGCTCCATAGCCGACGTAAGGAGAGGTAACTTCGCATGTGAAGTTGAACAGGGCCAGTTTTATATGTACATTTTTGATTTAAAATAATAAATAACTGACCAACATTTCATTTTTATTCCTGCGTTTGGCCTTTGCAAACATGCATGCTACAAATATTTTGACAAACGGAAGCCAAGTCGAAGCGAATGGGTATTGGTTGGGGCTGTAAATTTTACAAAAAACTTCCTCTTAATAAAACCAATCAAAAGATTTTATGACTTCAACTGCCTAAAACAGTTTCAATTTTCAACAGCTTAGATGTTCTATAGTTCAATGCCTTCATATTTTATGTGAATGCCTAGATGAACATTTTTTTAGACTAGGTAGGCAACTGACTGATCGATCAGAGATGATTATTTTTTAATTAACCATCATTTAAACTAAACAAATTATTAGCTTTAATTGGCTTTTCAAGGCTATTTATAGTGAACAGATTAGCAAACAAAATATTCAAAACAATTTAGGTTCATTATTCCTTAGAATTTAAAAATTCAATTATGAAACAGCAAAAACAGGGGAAACGATTTGATTGAAGGATTCAGACACTCACAAATATGCATTTTTAACGATCATTTTATTTAGAAATTCTTATTCCAACATTTTAAGTTCTAAAAATACTCCGCAAAGTTGGCGGTTGGTGATTGTTCAACGTCAATATTTGGAGTATTGCTATTTTAATCTTAAATTCTTGTCATTTTAAATTAAAAAAATGTAAATAGTTGATCGACTTCACCGACGCATATGGAATGGAGCCAACCGTCTCGTCAGTATCAGTGATGAACAATTATGAGCATACCAAACACAACATATACATAATTCTTGTGATGTAATGTAATATAATGTAATGTAATGTAATGCGTAGAGTGTGTAGTATACGCAACGCGTGAAATATGTTTTGCATGTAATATATAATGTATTACATATAAAATGTATTCGTATCGGTCGAATGTATTATAAAACAGGCAAAAGGCCCTATCTAAATTATTTGGCTTATGGGCATCATCACATAACTGAGAGGACGAAGTGACCAGCATGCTAAGGAGTGATGAATAGAGAGGAGTTTGAAAAAGGTGACCACTTGACCATTCTGCACAAGAAAGTTATTGAATAACTCTAAAGTTTAATACTTTATGTAAATTTATTAACGTAATAATTGTATGTATCATTTTTATGTTAGGAATCAACGATAAGCAATAACATATCAGAACAACACAAACTTCAAAAAATGTTTGAATCGACTTCAAAAGATCACCCATCTTCAAGATATGCCTCAAAATATTGTGCACGCCCCTACATGCTTGCATATGAAAACAGGCTTGAGAAAGAAAACCCGCAAAGATAAAGATAAGAAAGAAATTTTTGATAAAGTCTTGCGGAAGAAAGAAATGAAGTAACGCCAGTTCAAAGTTGAAGACGAACACGAGCGGGCATCAGATAAATAACCGTTCTAACAACAGTGCGCAGTGCTCTGCTCTCTGTAATGAAATCAGCTTCTTTCCGACTTTCTAACTGCAAAATATGCGAAATAGAGCAATGCATAATCCTTTTATGAGATCATGTTTCCAAGTTTGTGCTACGTGCTTAAATGGTTCGTCAGTGAAAATGATAAAAAAATAACACCGGCAAATATGACCATCGTCAACGGGGTAGACATTGTTCTATTTAATATTTTGTCAACCAATTTTTGTTGTTTATCTGTTAGTTTTTGTCTAAGATGAAAGCAATGTTGAATTTAATATTTTTTGATTTTTATTTTCATGCTTCCTTATCTTTCAAGTATTTTTTAATGGTAATGTTTGATGAAATCAAATTTAAACCATTCATTCATAACAATGGGTGCTCACGATAATAATAAGAATAATAATAATAAGAATAATAATATAATGAAGGTAAATATACAAATCTTACTTGTAAGCAAAACGACAAGAGGACTTAATCAAGTGACGGCCATCTTGTTTGCCTGGCGAGAAATGATTTTCCAATAAACAAAAAAAGGAAAAAATTGTTTTTTGTCCGATAGGGAATGAAGCAAGTGGGAATTAGAAGAATCCGTGGTTTGCATTTTTGTTTCTATGAAACGTGCGCGAAATGTTTGAAGTAAAAAGCGACAGACTTGTTTTTCGTCAACAATGATGGTGGTGTTTTTTGAGGTACATGCCAGTAGATTGTATTTTCATTTAATTTGATTACAGTAAATAAATAATTCCTTCACTAGGTAAAAATATGAACATTTATAAAAAAAAGTGATTATCAACAAATTATAATAAATTAAATAGTTATCAGGAAACCTTTAAAAAATGATTTTCCAACGAACATAAAAAAATTTGTAGTTTCGTAATCATTTCTTGCCAGACCAACAAGTTGGTCGTCATTTCATTAAGTCTTACTTGTGATTTTGTTTACAATGTTTCGAAGGTTTTGTGCAATAGTTACTGGCTTCGAATAAAAAAACATCTTTGCTTCAGTATGTACCAAAAAGAATGCGTTGATTTGCGCGTATTCACATACCTTGCGTGTGTGTTATGTGTGTGTGTGTGTGCGCGCGTATGAGTGTATGTGTGTGTGTGGGTGTGTGTGTTGTTGATACATCTGAGAGTTTATGAAAAGAAAGTTGTAAATTAATAACTTGTCAAAAGATCACTTTGTTCTCCGACGTTTCAATCAAAACAATCAAATCAGTCATTGTAAGAATGCTATGTACTGTGAACTATTTCACTGGAGACTGGAAAACAAACTTGCTCCATAGTAATAAAAAATTAATTTTGTGAAAGTTTTTTGGTCCATATGTTGCCAAGTCGAAAATCAAAACTCTAAGATGTAGGAATAACATTTAAAAATTTGTTAAAATCAAAAATTACATTGGAAAATAAAAATGATTTATTTCCTAAGTTATGTTAATGTAAACCCGTACAATAATTATTTTTTCACACCTATCACGAGAGCATCATTGAAGCTAAAGTTTATTTTCAATTTCACTAGGATTTAATAAAGAAAAACTGATTTAATTAATTTATTAAAAAATGTTAGAAACAAATCAATTTAAGCAAAAATATTAATCAAATGTTTTCAAAATAATTGAAAAATTTACACAAATAAATCAAAATAGTCTTTGTTCATTGAAGGAATTGATGCTGGTTTTGATCCAGTTCCAATTTTTTAAATTTTAAGATAATAATAACAACGATACCTCTTTAATTGCTAATTGGAAAAATTAGATTCATAGTTTATATTAATTTCTACATTTCATAGTTTAGATTTATTTCTACAAATTTGGATATTTCAAACTAATAACTTGCTGTAAATGGAGTGTGAATTAGACAATTTTAAATTAAAACAAGCAAAAACTCATAGCACAAAAAAGCCGATGCAGTTGACTGCACTCATTCACTTCACTCACCCACACATACACACACACAAACGCACGCACACACGCACTGAATATACATACACGCACACATAAACATAAAGAGCAGCAGCGAATACAAACATGTTGAGGCACCAGATATATATATATATATATATATATTATATATATATATATATATATATATATATATATATATATTGAAGAACTTGCATAGCAACCGGAGAATATAATGAAGATCCTTCCCTGATTTAATGACTCATTAAATGATCGGATAAAATGTTTATACGACCTGAGCTAGATAGCAGGAACCTCAGTGGCGAATGAATGCGGCCATAAAATCCAACATTTCCATGCATGGCATGGATCAGTCGCTGCTTGCTGGTGACCTGATGGTTGGATGGTGGTCATCGGCGGTTTGCACCGCACTGACCATAGTAACTACTCACTTTGCTGCTGCTTTCTTCTTTCATATGAATTGCTGTCCGATCAAAATCTATTGATATTTTTATTTATTAAAAAGACAAATTATGGTAATGTTAATACTGAGTATGTTATAAAATATTATGTTGCCATGGGATGGTGTTGAAGATGACGGTCTTTGATTCAACATTAACTTATTTGTAATTAGTGACTCGTTCACTTGTTATTTTGTTTTTTTAATTGACAAAATGTTTACAATTAAATTGATTAATTATCACTTGAAGCAGTTCTTAAAGATTTTTTGATTACAAAATGTTATGTAACTGCAAACAATTAAACAACATCAAAAATTTAAAGAGTATGAAAGCTACAAAGTAGTTAATAATGGCAAAAAAGAATTGTTGAAAGCATTTTAGCAACACAATAAATCGCTTTATGACATCAAAGTGACCGCTTACACGGACGCAACTACACAACGAACGACCCTCGCATAAACAATCATTCAACACACAGAACGTAACAGACTCATTTTTATCATCATTTTCGTTCTTTTTCCTTGAATTAAACTTCGAAGACATTTTGCCAAATTTATAAAAAAATTATGAACAAAAAATCTATGCATAAAAGAATTTATAGTTTTGTAGCAAGGAGGGAACAAGTAAGCATTATATGTTGTCTTGTACAGAATACGTTGACAGCATACCATATTAATACAAGAATGCAGATAATGTACGTGTGTATGTGTGCAAATGTGTAAAGGTATGTGTAAAAAGTGCATGTGTAAAAAGTGCATGTGTATATGTGCATGCGTGCGTGTGTATGTGTGTGTATGCTGGTGTGTTTATGAGCGTGTGGAATGTATTGGTGGTGTGTTTGTGTTGTTGTGAGGGTGTGTGTGTGTGTGTGTGTGTGTGTGTGTGAGTGTACAACCTAAGGGAAGAAAAAAATCTCGCGAAAATAATAATGTGCTGACGTGGAAACAGGAAATAAAGAAGCGCTGACAACATAAAGAACAGAAATAGAGATGGCATGAAAGAAAGATGGCGGGAGATGTAGGAATGGAATGAGGGAAGCAAGCAGGAAGATAGTAGAGGGTCTCCAGCATATGAGGATTAAGAGATTTACTCGACACGATGCCGTGTTGTTTTATTTATTGGCATTTATTTGTCATATGCTGATGTTGCGAATGTTGTGGATGTTTTGTCCACCGCACATGCGTTTCTACGATACATTCCTTGCTCCATGTTATGTTCTTCGACATCTTCAATCCAATTAGCGAACGCTTCGTTGGTTGACTGCCAATTGAAAGGTGTCTTTGTTAGTCGATCGGTAGAGTTGATTTGGCATTAGTTTAGTCGGTTGTTGTTGGTTGGTTGATTAGTTGATGAGTTGGTTGGTTGGTTAGTTGAATGATTGGCCGTTACGTTGGTTTGTTGCTACTTGATTGGTTGGTTGAATGATTGGTTTTTAGGTTGACTGGCTTGTTGTTATTTGATTGATTTGTTAGTTTACTAATAAGTTAAACGATTGTAGGTAAGTTATTAAATTAGTTTGTTACTGACACTGTGAATAAATAGTGGTGCATACGTTAAATAATAATAATAATAACAATAACGAAAATAAACATAATCAAATGTAACGTTAAGATAAATGTAAAGAATGGTCATAATAAACAACGGGACAGCGTTATCAGCCCCCTCATTAATAACGCTATTGTTAATATTCGTCACAATAAATGTTCACAACATAAATAAACAAACAAACAAACAAAAAACAAACAAACAAGCAAACAAAAACAAATAATAGCAATTGTTAGTAACAACAACAACAGCAGTCTAACAAAATATTAGCAATATTAATCAACAACAACAAACAACAACAACGATAAACTCGTTTAGTTGGGAACTTCAACCAAATTGACTTAGAGCAAAATCCCCACTGCGCGAAGTGTTCGGAAGGCTATTCCACAATCGGGGTCCGACCACGGCAAAGCTTCGAGATCCAATCTTGAGGTTTGTCTTTGGCACACCCAAAAAATTTCATTCAACAGACCTCAATTCATATTTTGGCAACTTTGTTTTATAACTTTGTATGTATGTATGTATGTATGTATGTATGTTAAAACCAAATCAGCGATGAGTGACACTAAACAGTCAAACATCTGAATAAAATCGGTTAACATTTGATATCTCGTTATTCGCTCACGTCGGCGTTTAATTGAACATTTTCGGTAACACAGACGCGCAAAAACCTTTGCAACAAACAAGAAATATGATTCATGGCGAAAAATAGCTCTCTGCTGTCGCCGGACCTGCCACTTATCATTTTGCAAATCTTTTTAAAAAATATTGAAGTGTTGTTGATTATTGTTAATGATGTGTGATTAATATAGTATACATACATTCTGGTTGATAGTGAATGGACGCAATTGGATTTCCCTGAGTTTTTCTTGAATTTTGGCGTTAATTTTAATATTATATGGTTGAATTTGGATTTGTTTAAAGGATAAAATTAGAGGAAGCATTATTATATTTTGTTTTTCATTAAATGGTTTCGAATTAATTAATTTAGATTTAATTGTTTATTTAGGTTTAATATATTTATATAAGAAACTAATACTAAAGTTGTTTTTTTTTTGGATAAGTCCTTGTTGATTTGAGTTGTAGTTGGCAGACTTAAACACTAACAATTAGCATTAATTTACATTTGTATGTACTGATTTGTTAATAAACATATGGCTTCAAAAAATAAATGCACAGCCTGTGCAGGTACGGTACCAATGAAGGAAATGCTACACTGCAAATTTTGTGAGTTGGTGATTCATTGGAAGTGCGCTTCTATTTCTGAGCAAACAATGAAGGATATTCAACAATGTACCGGTTTAATATGGTGTTGTAATGGCTGTGGTGGACAGATGGAGGCTTTCAAACCTGGCAGTCAGTTAAGCGTGATGGGGGGCGATATAAAAACGATTCATGAAAGCAATGCGGTTATTATTAACCAAATTAAAGATTTGGGGGAAAAGTTTAATAAAACGCTTGACAATGATGATTTGAACTTAGCGATGAAAAAACTAGAAAGCAAAATAACTATGCTGCAAGATGAACTGAAAAATATAAAAAACATACAAGATTGCAACAACGTCATTAGTGGTCAAATAAAGGAGATAAAAACCATACTTGATAAAAAAATCACGGAAGATATTCTGGATAAAAAAATAAACTCACTACAAGATGGTCTTAGAAAGTCGTATTCAGATATTGGAAAGAAAGTTGAAACTGTAAATAATGAAGTGATGAGTATGAATGATGGAATAAAGGCACTAAAAGAAGAGGTCATTAGTACAAAGAAAACAATTCAATTATATAGTGAGGTTGAAGAAAGATCGTTCTACTTTATAATTTTTAAATTGAAAGAAAGTAACAACCTCAGTTTTAATGATAGCAAAAAAGAAGATGATGAAAAGATTATGCGCATTCTTAGTGCAATAACAGATGAAAAATTTGATATGTCAAATGTTGTTAGACACTACAGATTGGGCAAGAGATCGGCTAATGTCAGGCCGCTGTTGGTTAGACTGAAGTCAAAGGTTTTGAAAAACTTAATTATGGAAAGTCTAAATAATTTGAAAAATTTAGATGATGATCTGAAGGGAATAGGTATTGGCCACGATATGACAAAAGATCAAAGAATCAAGTGTAGAGAATTGATAAATTTAGCGAGGGAGAAGGAGGCAGGTGATAAAGAGGATTTTGTTTACAGAGTGAGGGGCGAACCTGGAAATTTGAGAATAATTCGAATAAAAAAAAGATTGCACTGAATATGTGCTCTTTCGATATCGATGGAATATTTGAGGAACTTGATGACATTAAATATTTGATAAATGATGTAAAAAGAAAAGTTAATGCAATATTTTCGGTAGGGGCAATGGGCGAATATGAATAAAAAAAAAGTGGAAATTTTGGTAATGTGAATTTTGTCATTAACTATAGCGAAAGTAACATGGTGAATGATCAATTGGGTGGTGGTGATGATGATGACCCTGGTGAGGATGATAGACGTGATGGTAGATTTATTGATGATGGTCGAATTAATGTTTCCTGTGACGGGGTGATGATGGAGTTGATAGCGGTAGGACTGATGATATTAATGATGGATATTTGAAAAAATTACGTCTAGGTCTCTTAAATATAAGATCAATGATTTCAAAAACTGATACTATTTATGAATTATTACATGAAGACTTAGATATTCTTGTGTTAACAGAAACCTGGCATGGTTCATCAGATGATGTTTCGGTTAAAATAGCTATGCCCCATGGATTCGGGTTTGTTGATTGTATGCGAAGAGAGGATCCATATCACGGGGGGTTAATCATTTACTTTCGTGATCTCTTTAAACACAAAAGGATAGCTTTGCCGGAATTATTAACATTTGAGGCAATTGTGGTTATATTGACAGTAGGCAAAGTTAATGTTGTACTATTTGCCATTTATCGACCAGGATCGCAGTTGGTTTCTAAAGCATTTTTTCAAGAATTGACCAGTATCTTGGAGAACATAATGTTATTGAGTGATCATGTAATATTATTAGGTGATTTGAACGTGCATGTCGAAAAAAATGATGATGTTAATGCCAAGATATTATCGAATGTGTTTGACATGTTTTCAATGCAAAATGTTATAAAAGAACCTACACATATGCATGGTGGAACGTTGGACTTGGTGGTACCAGTAATAAATATGCCTGTTACTCGTGTTAAGGTATATCCTAGTGGTGTCATTTCTGATCACAGTTTGGTTTCATTTTGTTTGCCAATAGTTTGTTCCCCTGTGTTAAAGGTTAAAAAGACTGTACGGGCATGGAAGCGTGTGGATGAAAATCATTTTCTTACCTTGATTAATGGTAAGTGGTGCTTGTAATGACGATGATGTAGATAGAGCAGCGGAGCTCTTCAACAATGAAATGATGAGAATTGCTAATACTGTTGCGCCTCTTCATGTTGTTGAAACAAGAATGGTTCCAACTGCACCATGGTTTGATAGTGACTGTAGAGGAATTAAACGTGATTGTCGAAGGTATGAACGCAAATACAGGAAAAATAAATGCATGGTTAATAGGCAGAACTGGATTGGCCTAATGAATATGAAACAAGAGCATTTTGCAAAAAAAAGAGAATAATATTGGAACAATTTAGTTAACACTAACGCTAACAACCCTAAACAGTTATGGCGAGTTTTAAACAAGGTTTTATGTAACAAAAAAACTAACACGGTTGATGTAGCAAACAATAAAATTACTGCCAGTGAATTTGCAGAGTTTTTCAGGAAAAAGATTGAAAACATTAAAAAACCATAACAGGGCATGGCGTACCTTCTTTCAGTTGTAAGGTTAAAGAACATCAAGTATTCTCGAATTTTTTGGAGTGCTCAAGTGATGATGCTAAGGCAGTTATTTTAAAAGCCCCTGCGACAACATGTATGCTAGATCCCATCCCGACGAGTCTTTTCAAAAAACACATTGAACTGTTTTTGCCGTACTTGACGGATTTGATCAATATGTGTTTGAAAACTGGAAGTTATCCAATGATTTTTTAAAAAGCAATTGTTACACCGCTATTGAAGCAACCATCGTCCGATGCAAATGAGTGTTATGCGTATGCAGATGATATTCAATTAGTGTTATGTGCTCCTGTTGAAAAGTTTGATGATTTAGCTGAAGGACTGAAAGATGCGTTGGCTGCAGCAAATATTTGGATGACACAAAATGGAATAAAATTGAACAAAGATAAAACCAATTGGTACATGGCAGTAGACATCAAAAATACATCGAGATGTATTAGAAATGGATGATGCCATTGTTAAATTTGAAAGATCATCCACAATTCTGGGCTTCACACCTGATGCTAATCTGACCATGCAGGATCATATATGGGGTGTCGTAAAGTCATGTTGTTTTCATCTACGTCAGTTGCAGCGCATTAAGAGATTCGTCAGCAAGCCCGCTTTGATGGCATTAGTTCATTCATTTGTCCACTCACGTTTGGACTACTGCAACAGCCTACTGTATGGTGTTTCAGCGAATGAAATTGCACTGTTGCAATCTGTACAGAATAGGGCAGCTAAAGTCGTAATGGGTGGACGAAAGTATGATCACGTGACTCCATTGATTAAGGATTTGCACTGGTTGGTAAGTGAAAAGAGGATTGTTTTTAAAATTTGCTTATTAATGTTCAAGTGTTTAAATGGTTTGGCACCACGATATCTGACGGAGATGTTTACACTCAAAGATATGACTGCTCAGAATTTTGTCTTGAGATCAAACGATCAGAATTACTTGACAGATCGGGTGTCAAAATTGAAAATTGGGTCTCGTAACTTTGCTGTATGTGGTACGAAAATATGGAACAGTCTTCCATGCGTCATTCGTCGACCAGGGATGTCACTGTTGCAGTTTAGGAGAGAATTGAAAACACACCTGTTTTGAAGATTAATTGAAGTTGTGAATAGTATGTTGCATGTTGCTTTTGTTGTTTATGAATGTAGCTTATCGATAACGGAACATTCATTTGTTTTATGCTGTTTTTATTTTTATTTACGTTTTAATTATATAATTGAGTTGTCGAGTACGTAATGTATGTGGGTGTTTTATGATGGGATGTGCTTACGTTGAATGTGTTTTGGATGTGATGAGATGTGTGAGTTTCGTGTGTTTCTAATAATTTGAATCGATTTATAATTATTGTGCTGGTGGCTGGGTATTTATCTGTTGGTTGTTCTGAATTATATGTTACCGTGCATCTTCTTAGCGTAATTGTGTGTGATTGGTGTGGATAAAGTGTGGATGAATGTATTTATGATTTGGTTTAAAATGGTTGCTGTTTGGTTCTTATATGGTTGTTACATTACTTTGAGTGATTGGGTATGGTCGAGAGTATATGTGTGCATCTATATATGAATTTAAAGGATTTATCTGTTTTGTTTTAGTTCTTTTTTACAATGTATACTTATGTTTATTTTCGAAATATTTATGCTTTTGTTTGATTACTTGAATGGACAAAAAAATTTTTTTTTTTTGGTTATGTAGGATAGCGACTTTGGGTAGTTCTATAAAAGTTCTATACAAGTTTTCTTATAATAATAATAATAATAATAATAATAATAGTATGTATGTATGTATGCATGTATGTATGCATGTATGTATGTATGTATGTATGTATGTATGTATGTATATATGTATGTATGTATGTATGTATGTAACGGGTTCGATATTAACTAAACGCAACGACAGATATATTATTAATCCTCCTTTATTAAAACCTAACTAAATAATTAATCGAATAAACCAAATTAACGAAAATGCAACGATACAATAACCAACTTTACTAATGTCGACTCCGGCACAAGAGCCGCAGAAAAGAAAGAGGCTTAACTCATTTGCGCAGGCTATTTATAGACTTGCACGGTGCTCTCTCCTAGGTAAGCGCTTGTACTTTGGTCTGGTAGCCAACCCACGTGACCATACGGCGCTCTCCCCTAGGTAAGCACACGTGCTTTGTGCTAGTAACTAGCCCACGTGACCATGTAATGGAACAATTTCCATTACATATGTATGCATGTATGCATGTATGTATGTATGTATGTATGTATGTATGTATGTATGTATGTATGTATGTATGTATGTATGTATGTATGTATGTATGTATGTATGTATGTATGTATGTATGTATGTATGTATGTATGAACCCATAATTGATTAGAACTATAAGGAAGTAATAATCATATCCGGGTTCAGCTTTAATCTATGTTAAACGCTTCCCACACAGGTATTTTAACGCTCCATCCAAAATACAGAAAGAATTATATTTTTGAAGTAAAATAGAAAAGGATTGCTTTCATAACTCTTATCTAATGGGTCACCCGATACTTCTACAATCCTGCTACAGAGTTCATTCAGAAAACTCTGAGTCTGAGCATCGGTTGGACCAAAGGTCTCAATGCAGACTGGCTGAAAAATTTTGCTTTCTGCAAGAGCCGCATATTTTGACTTATTAAAGTCTGCGGCTCTTAAGGCAGCGGCACCCGCCTCCTGTGAAATAAGATTAATGTACCTTTTAGCCATGGTGTGAGGGAACGTAACATCCCAAGCAAGGGATCGTTTCTGCGCCCATGGTGAAATAGTATATCCATCGGGCCTGAGGCTACCTTCCTCCATAAAACCCGTGGGTTCTTTAATTGTGGGTATGTTTGCCCTCTGAAAGCACCTGACCAAAAAGTCGTTCATGGCCGAGTGTGGAGCCTGTCTACCAGGGCCCAATCGACCCGAAAGACCATGGTAGCCCAGGGGTTCAACATTGGCCCCACATAAACAAACATACTCGGTTAAAATGGGTAAACCGAGTCTCAGTCCCAAACTGACACGAACACAAGAGTCGTCCAGCCTGGTACCACAGGCGGAATTTGGGACCGCCTTCAACCAAGATGATCCCAACTCACTTTTTACAGCCATTATCCTGGCTTTATCAAAATTTGATTGGTTCAAATCCAGCAGCTTAGCAACTGAGCTGCTGATAAATGGAGCGTTCCACTCCTTTTGAGAACGGGTTTCGATACAAATCCCCGCTCCGTGGACGGTCCGGAACCCATCAAAAACTTGGGTTTTGAAATTGTCGGAATATATTTTATCCCTGGGCAACAACAAATTTTGGAGAGGAACCGTGGCAGCAGCAGAAGTCAAGAAGGCAGAAGGTGCTAAATCCACCACGGTACCTAAACCTTAGCCACCAACCGAGATGGGCAGGGTTGCCTGTAACCAACCTTTCTGGTCAAGGGGAACGTTGAAAATCGATTGGAAACCGTCACGGAGAGTTTGATCAAAACATTGAAGCATCAAATTATCGAGGCTGGACGACGTTCTTAAAAAAAAGTCAAACGAGGCAAGTACATCGCGTGCAACAGCAAGGTCAAGGCATCATGCTTTGAAACTACCTTCAGTCTAGACATAATAAATTTAAATTTTTCCAATTTTTCACCCCAGAAAATATTACGTTTATTGCAAGGAAATAGGAAAGAGCCTAGAAAGTCGATGTCATTTTTAGGAAACTGTTTAATTTTGAAAGAATTTTCTATTAAGTTTGGATGATTTGTGAAGAATTCGCATTTTTTAAAGTTTAATTTCAAACCCAAATCAGTCTCATGACCCACAATTGAATTCAAATCCCTCAGCACATTTTCAATCTTTCCACCAAGTGAAATGTCATCCAAGTAGGCGACAATGAATTTGGATTCCAAAGACTTCAACAGAGGATTGATTGCAAGAGAGAAGAGCAATGGACCCAGTGGGTCACCTTGCTGAACTCCTTCCTCTGACAAAATCTTTGTGCCACTAAAAAACAGAATGGATGGCTTATCATAAGCCGACAAACAAAAGTTGTACAACTCTGGCACAACCGACTTCACCGTGAGCAGCAAGTGATCTCGCCTTAGGGAGTTAAACGCATTGGAAAAATCCAGTTTCAAAAAACATTCAATATTATCCATGTTATCAACAAAACGTCTAGCGGCGTGAATCGCTCCCTCTGCGCCACCGCTAACACCAACGCCCACCTGCTGAGGTTGAAGCAGGGGGACAACTCTGTCTTTAATGATGTGCATGGCACATTTCGCAGCCAAACGCCTCCAAACACAACCAACTACAATTGGCCTGATACCCCCATCTTTTTTTAACAGAGCAACCAGTCTTCCACCAAACAAAATAGAAGCCACCTCTGGCGGACAGTTCCCGCTTAGAATCAGGTTGACAAATGAGGCAATCAAATTCACTAGATCAGAAGAGTCTGCTTTTGAAGACGTAACGTCTCTTAGATGTGCAGGCGTGAGACCATCTCTGCCGCCAGAAGTTCCCTTAGGAAAAGACTTTAAACAGTGCAGCACCTGTTGTGAATTAACCGTTAAGCTTGAAGCCTCTTTGAGTAGACATTCCTTTCTGTTTGAGGGAGCGTTTGGATGTTTCTCCCTTAGGGAACCTATGGTTTCTTCCGTAACCGGTGCAACTGTATCGCTGTACACTGTAACTGTATAGCTGTAGACAATAGCTGTAGCGCGTTTCGAATGTTTCCTTTTTCAATCTTGGATCTAACGGATGAAATCATTTTAGCTTCGGTTGAAACTTTTTTGCTATACTTAACAACAGGCTCCAAGGATTCCACCATCCTCTCCACCGAACAACCGCCGAATGCATCCAATCTCTGGGTAATAACACCTGTTGGGTTGTGACGTTTACCCCGTCGAGGACTCCTCCTCAGAACCATTGAGGGCAGAAACAGCAGCTTATACCAACTTGGAGGCGAAAGAGGTTTTTTGATAATTTCTTTCAAAACCTTGGCCAACACCTGACTAAATTTGGGTCTGCACTGTTTGGGAAGATGATCATGCAAACAAAAATTGGCAGATCTAGAAAAAAATTCATCCGCCATGTCGCATTTTAGGGCAAGCACAACATGATTTTTCTTGATAGAAAGATTACCAGCATTTCCCAAAGACATACGTTTTAGCACCACCGGAGGCCTGGCGAGAGAGCCGGAACACTCAGAACCCTTAACTTTTCCCCCATGACGCATAAGTGCCCCATCTGGGCGGGTACGAAAATGCATATTGCAAACATGTATGTATGTATGTATGTATGTATGTATGTATGTATGTATGTATGTATGTATGTATGTATGTTTGTATATATGTATGTATGTACGTACGTATGTATGTATGTATGTATGTATGTATGTATGTATGTATGTATGTATGTATGTATGTATGTATGTATGTATGTATGTATGTATGTATGTATGTATGTATGTATGTATGTATGTATGTATGTATGTATGAACCCGTTTTGATGAACAAGCCATGGTTAGGCATGCAATCGTTTCCGAGTTCAACTTTTATCTATGTCCCTGGTCTCGCACAGTCAGGTATCTAGCAGCTCCATCCAGAAAGCAAAAAAAAATTAATTTTTTGTAATAAAAGTGAAAGAGTTTGTTTTAAATAATTGCCTTCGTTAGGATCACCCGTTATATTAACTATTTTTCTTGTTAATTCGTTAATAAATAATGATGTGTGCTTATCTGTTGGTCCGAACGTTTCAATGCAAATGGGTTGAAATATTTAGCTTAAATTGTTTAATGAAACGTATTTTTCATTTTTGAAATCGGACACTTTAAGGGCAGCAGTGCCCGCCTCCACTGAAGTGTAGCCGATATATCGGTCAGCCATAGTGTGAGGTAAGGTAACGTCCCAAGCCAGGGACCGTCCCTGAGCCCATGGAGTGATAATGTAACCATCAGGCCTAAAGGCTCCTTTTTCTATCAAACCCATGGGTTCTTTTATAACCGGGATACCAGCCTTTTGAAAACATCGTACCAGATATTCGTTGACAGCCGTATGTCTGGCCTGTCTTTCAGGACCTAGACGACAAGAAAGGCTATGGTATCCAAGTTCATCAACCCTTGCCCCACATGCGCATTCGTATTCGGTGACGATCTGGGCTCCGAGCCTCAAACCAAGGCTCACGCGAACACAGGAGTCATCCAATCTAGTGCCGCAGGAGGTGTTTGGTAGCGCTCTCAACCAGGTGGAGCCCAACTCACTTTGACAGCCATAATTCTAGCCTTGTCAAAAGTGGAGCCATTCAGTTGCAGCCATCGATCAACTGATCTATTAAGACAGGGGGCGATCCAGTGTTTTAGCGAGGGGTTTTCGAATGCAACCACATCTCCTTTGGTGGCGCGCCACATGTCGTATACTTGCATTCTGAGGTTATCGACATAAATCCCATCCCTCGGCAACATCAGATCCTGGAGGGCCACCGTGGCAGCAGCAGAAGCCAAAAAGGCAGAAGGTGCCAGCAATGTATGTATGTATGTATGTATGTATGTATGTATGTATGTATGTATGTATGTATGTATGTATGTATGTATGTATGTATGTATGTATGTATGTATGTATGTATGTATGTATGTATGTATGTATACAATTTTATATTTTTTATAATTTAGTAATTCAGTGCTGGTTGATATTTGTTTGAGGTTACATACAGATAAATACTTACCTGGGCTTATTATTATTTTTCTGTTGTATAGTGTTATATTATGTATGTTATGTCATATATGACTTCTTGTCATATATGACTAGTCAAGCATGTACGCTGACGTGTATGCAATGGACGTGACGTACACACATTTAAACGTTTCTGAAAACAATCAAGAAGTGAACATTTGTGTGAACATTAACATAAAAATAAACAGGCAAACATCGCAGTAACACAGGGACTGTATGTACTGTGCATGAATTGTTTCACACATCCGTAACAAGAATGTAAGAATATAAACAAACGTCACTAGAGAAGACATCTTGTGAATTTGATGTATACTACATTTAAAGTAAATGAAATAATAATACATGACAATTACTATTTAATATTGCAAAACTTGACATTTCAGCTCATATTTATTCCACATTGCAAAATGTTACAAATTGCAAACATCTCATACAAAACTGAGCACAATATGGACACTACATTTAAACAGACTGTTGTAAAATATTTGCATATGTGTGTGTATATATGCGTGTGTGTGGTGTGCGTGTGTATGCGTGTGTGTGTGTGTAAAAGTGTAAAAACAAAGTTTATAAGCCGAGCCAAATATAAACAACACTGTCCTACCAATTTTATTTTCTGTTCGATTTTTTAGGTGTTTTATTCTTTCCAGAGTTTCAGTGTGAAATAATTCTGAGCAAACGTGTTTATGTGTGTTCTATGTACACATACGCACACGCGCATACAACACACACGCACATATATGTATATGAAGATACACGTATACCCATAACCGCATAAACATTTAAGCATCAACACAAACTTTTACACGAAGGCACAAACATACCACGAGACACACACACATCAACACAAACTCACCAACACAAACACACAGATGCAAACAAAACAAAAAGCACGCATACATATACATATATAAATAAAACGCAGCACACCCACCAATGAAATGTCCCTAAATGTGGAGAGATCAAAATGTTGGAAAAATATTTCCAAACAATAACTTCAAGTGGAAAATGTGGAAAATTCTATAAACAAATAAATTTCATTCAAACACAGATACGTGACCGTACACACACACACACACACACACACACACACACACACACACACACACACACACACACACACACACACACATACACACACGCACACACACACGCACACACACACACACACACACATGTTAATTATACGAATGTAAAGATAGATAGTGGTTTATATTTTGTATTTGTTTGGCGGGAGTCTTCATGTAGCTTCTCTGACTTAGAGTACACATTTCGATTTTTGTTCCTCGTAAGCAAGCGCCATATTTGTTTACGAGGTGTCATTAGAAGATCATGCACATGTTCTTTGCTTGGTTTCTATGCATCTTTGTTTGTATGTATGTATCTCTGTTTATATGTGTCTGTGTTTTTATATATCTGTGTTTGTATGTAACTGCGTTTGTATGCGTCCGGGCTTGTATATATTTGATTTTGTATGTACTTGAGTTTGTGTATCTGAGTTTGAATATCAGTGTTTGCATGTATTTGTGTTTGTATCAATCTGGATATGTTTATTTAAGTTTATGTACCTTCCATTATGTCAATTTGCTAAAATATGCTTTTGTGTTTATATGTGCTGTGCGTCACACATGTGCTTGCATGTGTTGATTATGTTTCAATATGTTCCCTCTATTTGCTATGTTTATTGTATTATATGTTGGCTGTTTTGCTGTTGTACGTACAAACCCATGCAATTATATTCACAATCAAGCAAACATGTTTAATTTCTTTGTGACCATGGAAATTAAATGCGCCTTATATGGTGAGCAGAAGTTGGAAGAATAATTTAATTAGAGGTCCGTGAAAGAGTCGTTCAGTTTCAAGTAAATGCTCATCTATCAAACTCACCCCACAACCGTTTCAGTCTTTTATCATTTTATTCCGTAAAAAGAGATTTAATCAAATTAATGAAACCCGCGTGAAAGTTTATCCATCAAAAAGAATACACCTTATAGAAAATGAAACAGATTTCAATGAAAGATTGTTTAAAAGTTAAAATTCTCTGAAGAGATTTCTATCAAAAATTGTTTTAATACTCTGAAAGTTTATTTTAAAATATTTTTTCAGTGGCCTGTTAAATCAGGTCAACAACATCGTCAACATCACCACCACCACCAACAACAACATTAGCAGCAACAGAGTCAAAAAATATAAAAATTGAACAACCCCACTTGCCTAAAGGAACTGAAAAGCACCACAGCTTATTTATTAATAAAAACTGCAGAAAACATCTTGCATTACAATTATAGGCACCATTAACAATGATATGAGTAATAATATTAAAGCAAACAACAACAGCTATTTGGCAACAACAAAACATTAACATCGACAACAACAACAACAACAACAACAACAGCAAAAACAACAACAACAACAGCAGCAGCAGCAACAATAACAACAACAACATTAACAAAAACAACAGCAGCAGCAACAACAACAACAACACAAACAACCAGACCTGCACTTATATATTTTCTTGTGGAAGTAACACAATTGAACGATGCCATTGTAAAAAAGGTTTGCTTATAGTGTCGTCCTTTTCATGTTTAAAAGTTCGGCGCTATATCAATTTGTCCCGAACTATTCACTTATTGTTCCATGCAAAACTTTTAACGGCATTTTGATTTGTTTATTTTTTTTAAATAGAATTTTTTCAGAAATTTGTTTGATAGTATGTATGCTGCTAATTTTGCGCATAAATAAAATTGCTGAATAAGTTTTTAAATAATTAAGAAATGAAGTAATGATAACATATTAGTTAACAACCTAAACACACACATTAAAAAACACACACGCACACACTCATGCACACACGCACACACACACACACACTCATACACTCACACACACAAACACCAAATTATTGAATATATGTTTGCTTGTTTGATCTTTGCAGTCTAGAAATGTACTGAACCAATTGGCTTGACATTTTGTTTGAAAATGTTTTTGGTGCCACAAAAAAAGGTAGGCATAAAAAATTGGTTTAGTAGAAATAAATATTAAAAAAAAAAATATTTTGCACTTCATAACTTTTTCCATTAAATGGAAAAATAATCGTCGAACGCCCATGCCAAAACGTTTTTCAAAAAGTTAAAACATCTCAGTATTGGACTTAATGATATTGTTTAAAAACGACAATTACATTATTATTTTTATTGCTATTAATTATTATTATTATTATAATTAGAAAATTTATAAACCGCATTTTAAAACAGATCGCAACTGCTCGTCAGTAAGTTTATGCAAATAAGCATAAAGCGTAAATATTGATAACTCTCAGTTGCAAACAAAAAATCCTAGCATAATTTCTTTAGACCATAATAATAGAAATTAATTTGGCAATTGACATTAACATAACAGTATTTAATCATTGTTATTCAAGATTGTAAATTTCCAAATGTAACTTATTAAAACATTTTCATAACATTAAGACTATCTGTGTTTTGTTGATGCCATAGATACTTTTGATTACGTTGTTGTTGCTGTTGCGGTAGGCTTACTGTCAGTCAATATATTTTGTTGTTGTTGACGCTCCTTCATTGAGCTTCTCCTGATAAAAAGTGTCATCACGTTGCTTTGATTTTGGTTCAACAAATAATTGTTCCGAAGTTAGAAAATTTCATAAGAATTAATTTCTCTTACAATTTGCGTAGGAATTATAAAGGTAACTTATATTCAGCCATGAAACAAACAACAAAGACTCTAAACTCCTTACTGTGAACAATTCAGACGATCGTTCCTGACGCAGACCAGTGGTTGGATTGGGAGAGTGAAAGAAAATATTTTTCTCGGGAAGCAATCGGAAAATTATCGAGACATCCGGAAGTTATCGGGGATGAGACATTCCGGGAAATTGTATTTATTTTTTTGTTACTAACTTGTACGGTCCGCTAAGTACACAAAAGGATATAAATGTGTATACATATACAAAATATTGTATTCAGACATTCACATACGTTCACGGAGGTGGCACAGCATATAGCAAACTGAATGTAGAAAAGTGTATCAGAGATAAAATAAAATGAAATAAATTAAACAGTAAAAATGAGTGATGAATTAACATATTTATGCAAATTCACTAAAGAAAAAATGCACTACTACACAACTAATAATAAATAATTATACAGGAGAAAGAGTGAAAATTTATTAATTTTGAAATTTTGCATTTTGAATAGAGAGCGCTAAAAAAAGCTGCAACATATTTTACGACAACAAAACCAACAACTACATCAACTACTGCAATCATGTTTTGGTCTAGTCTAGAGCAAGACATTAATAACATCACAAATTAGATCCTTTCATGGAATGCACGCGCAACAACATACCGCGAGTAGGCAGGCAGTTCCATGCCGAGTCCCGAGCCCATCACAACATCAATTGATTAACACCAATGGAACAAGACATAAATAATCGCGTCTAATTAAATAGATCAAATGTTTCGGCCAAAAATACATTAGTCCTCGTATGCAACGCTAATATGCAGCAACAACATGCAAAAAAAAACACACAACAACAACAGCATGCGACAACAACACGCAACAACAACATGCAACCTTGTATTGTATATATCACTAACTGAAATAAACATTTTGTATAACAAATGTATATTGAATTTGCACAATCGTCAGATGAACTTTTT